TTTCCATTCCAGAACGACCTAACCGATGACAAATAAGTTGTTTTTGCGTGTAATTTTGCATGTGGGTGGGGCGTTGGCTTGTGAGCGCGTGCGGGCGCGTGGGCGTGTATATCCCTGCTGTTGTTTTTTCTTGTAGTATTTTTTTTTGCTTTTTTCTTGTATACATACGAATAAAGAGAGTTTGAATCTTTCCCAGTGAGTAACCCCCCCTTGTCACCGCAACCCAACCGTTTGAAGTTTCGGGGGTCGGGGCTCAGACGTGTCTCATCAATTCTACGTGTGTGTGTGTGTGTGACAAAGAACTCTATGTTGAATGGTCCCTTGCCTCCGGCGTCCCTCGGTCTCAAAACTCATGTTGTTTCCGATGCCGGGTGCCGGTCATCTTATGGATGAAACGGACTGCGAAGCCGCGACGGTTGGGGTTTGCGAATATCTGCCCAAGCGTGCATGCCCAAGCGTGCAAGCCCAGCACGCTGAAAAGCCTAACGCTATGAAAAAATCCTGCAAACCTGTAAAGCTATAAGAAATAGTGGCTCCTTGCGAAGGTCTCACGAGGTTTGTGCTGTCAGCTTAGGAAACCTGCCATCTTCAAAGAGTGCGCTTGTACAAGTGACGAACAAAAGCTAATCAGGAAAGCAGCCATCTGACTTGCATGAGCCGACTGACTTGCATGTGCAGCTGGCAATTGATTTTGCCCAAGCAGTAAATTGTCTGAAACTGGTGTGACCTTACTACTACCACAGGGCGGAGATGACACTTTCCACAAAGCGACGTTGCTCTCGATCACGCTCTGCTATTTCATGAGACAAGGCGTCCCAGGACTCCTGCCAACCATCCAGCCAAGAGCCTGTTAGCTCGTAGGTGTACTCAAAGCCGATGCCCCAATCTCCCCAAAGTCCAAACCGCCGCACCACGGGACCACGAAGCCAGCCCTGATCGGCGAGCAGCTGCTCAGCAGACTTCGGCGGGCCACGCGCTCTCCTCACTGCTAGCCGCTGCTTGGGCGTCATCGGCCTTCCCAAGTCGTCATTGTGCAGACCAGAGCGGAATTTTCGCTGAAGCACATCAGGCCTGCAAAAGTGCAAGCTGCTTCTGATGTCTACGGATGTCTGGACGGTATTTTGCCGCCTGTGCAACTTCACAAGCTCTTTGAAAGCAGTCGATTCGGCTGCTTGCCCGCAAGTCGCACGAGCTGCAACAAAGTCCTTGACCTGAATGGCAACCACGGTTGAGTTGTTCCTTCAAGGATGGGCATGTCATCTTTCAAGCTCTCAGCAAAGCCACGGGGAGAAATGGAGACATTTCTTTCATTAACCTTGGCTGAAAAGCTGGCGGAAGCTGACAAGCTTAGCACATGGCAAGCAGCATCCCACTGTCCCCACCCCTCCTCCCAAACCCACAAAACAACAAAATCATCAAAAAGACGCTGCTGAGACACAGCGGGCTAAATCTGGGCCATCTAGCACGCACATGGTCTGCCTGCAAGCACACGCTGTCAGCTCAAACAGAAAAACTCACCATAAGGCCTCGGGGAAACTTGCGCCAATCACCTCAAAAGCTCTGGCACTCACGGTCGGCATGGACTCACGTGTCTGTCTACAGGCTGGGTTCGTGGCGATTTCTGACTCTGATTCATGCCCAGGCGGGTGGCCTTTCCATACGCCAACGAAAAAATCAACACTGTTGGCTGCTTCTCAAGACCAGCACTTGTGTTGTGAAACTCGCACCTTCTGGGTTGCACAGCCCGCACAAACCTCAAAGCATACCAAGCACGACTGCAGCAAACCCACCAGCACGAGTCTTTATAGCATGTCGCCATGAGCAACTTGCAAACCAGCCGCCGACACATTGCCACCATTGCCACAAAAGCGACATTCGTGGGATCTCAACAAGTTACCACTCCACCTGTTTTCAAGGTGTTACACCTTTTTTGACACGAAGGGCAGTCCATGACCTGCCAGTTTTCCCAATAACACGTTGTGGGTGAAGTGCTCATTGCCATACTGCATCTGTCTCGCTACACACATCTGGTCTTGAAGCGGCTATGGCTTGAGATCTTCATGCAGCATGCACATGGAAGGCTGCTGTTACACTGCCTACAACTCGGAACTACTGGGAACTAATTCCAAGTCTCTGCAGCCTCCCGTTTAAAGGATTTCAAGATCAAGAAATGTCCCGGCGTATTTTGGCGGAGGGTAGGCTTGAGAAGGCTTTCAACACATCAAGCCACAGACTGCATGATTCAGCAAG